ATTAAAGGATAGTTCACCTAAGTTAAAATTCATTCACCCTTGTGTCATTCCAAACCTGTATGGTTTCCTTTCTTCTGTGGAGGGGGAAAAAATTATATTCTGTTTAATGGTTTTGTCCATACAATGAAAGTCAATGGGGTCCAAAACAACATCAGACCTCACTGGCTTTTAATACACACTCTTAAAAATAAAGGTTCTTTATTGGCATCTGTGGTTCCATGATGAACCGTTAACATCCATGGAACCTTTAAATGCACAAAACATTCTTTATAGTGGAAAAAAGGTTTACTAAAATAGTTCTTCACACTAAGGAAAAAAAAATGGAACTGAAAAAAGAACTGTAAACTGAAGGGCTTTGTGGAGAACCAAAAATTGTTTTTCCATGACATTGCTGCAAAACACTTTTTCCTTTTTGTGTTCCACACAAGAAAGAAAATCATACAGGTTTGGAACTACATGAGGGTGAGTAAATGTGAATTGTTAGGTATTCTGCCGACATAAGGGTGAGTGCACCTACACGAAAACCGACATAAGGGTGAGTAAAGGATTTTTGGGTGAATTGGCTAAAAACTGATGCTTAACCATGAACTATCCATATCATGCCTTTGAGCAAAAAGCTCTAAACCAGGCTAAATCCAGAAGGACTGCCCCTGTAATAAATGATTTGTTAAAGCTTTCTGCTCAATGACTGGATTTAGAAATATAATGGTCATTTACATTTTTAATTCAGCAGTATAATTTAGACGGTCTGTGCTGTGCTGTGCCCCATCTGTGCTGGCATGCCCGCATCAATGGAGGCTAATGTTACTGGAATAAGAACATCAGGGCTCATAGTATGAGAAAAGAGCCACCTTGCTGGCATCAATACATGTATGATTACAGACAGCGGTTTTACAAAGAAACCACACGCATTCTGCATTAGTCATCAGTTTTTCTCTGCTTAAAGACGCAATATATTTAGCTTTCAGGATCTGGCATTGGCATACACTGAAATAAGAAACATGATCATTCTAAAACATTTAAATTATGTTTGAGTGGGTTTTATTGTTTTTGTTTGAAATCAAATCCAATGTCACTTTACTTGGATACTGCAGGGAAGTCGTTAGCTAGGAATGTTAAATAAACCTGGTTGGTTTATTTGAAAAATGACATCATTCTGCTCAGCTGAGACTTCACGTCTAGTCCACCTGGAAGTTTCTGTTTCCCTATTGTGACCAAATCCAGTGCTGCACCAGAAGAAATATACTTTTCAGACATGTTTATTGGCAATACCATGATATTCTTTGAAGTACATTGGAGTACCATGGTATAAATCACTTTACTATGGTAGCACCACAGTTTTTTTCTGTTAGGGCAATTCATTTTTCGTGAGACCCGCTGTTCTGGTTCCAATCAGGGTGTATGGGAAGTATCATTTTTACGACGACCTGTCCGTTCTCTGCTGCGTTTTTTCCACAATTTATGGCGAATGTCAGAACTGACTTTTCACTAAGAATGTACTTGAATGTCACGATCAAAGAGCTGCTGTCGATGAGACTGAGCTACTAATCATTCCGCTACATTCCATGCATCAGAATGCAGCGCTTCCTGTGAAAAGCTGTTCAGACACAAGCCTGATGAGATACAAAAGTCATTATGTAGCTGTTCTGTAGGTGCAATACATAGAATTTCCCACAGTCAAACTCCCAATAGAGTTCGTATAGAGACACAGAAGTAGTTAGACAGGCAGTTTGTAGTGTCTTTCTGTATAAGGGAGATTCATAGTTTTAGTCAGGTGGAGCCTTAGGACCTTCTTAGCCTTCACCCAAAACACATAAACGGTGCAGTTGCCGAGCATAAATCTAGCATTCCATTATACCTGCCTTTTATTCAGTTCAAAATAACTTTATCTATGAAATGGGGCGCTTTCACCACCTTCAGGTGATCTATTCGGAAGGATTAGACCGTTTTAGACATTTATGAACAATCTGAGTGGATATGAGGCCTGAGATTGTGCTGAAATAATTGCTTAAATTAGAGATTGTTCAATTCATCTCACACATATCATTGAGTGCTCAGTTAACCTTTGACCTCTTCTGTTATCACAAATGTCCGGACTTCATCGGCTGTTTAAAATACTGTTGGACTAAGAGCTTTGCGATTCATTCAGACAACAGGTGTAGAGATCCCCTCCGGAGCCAGGCATTAGACTAGCCTCTGTGTGTGTGTGTGTGTGTGTGTGTGTGTCCCTGACTTTTTGTTAACATGTTAATTACTGAAGAGAAAATGCATGTTCATGTAATATACACTTTTAGGTACAGCTGTAATACGTAACCTTTAATACAGTAAGATTTTTGATGTTTTGAAAGAAGTTTCTAATGTTCACCAAGGCTAATATTCTGAAATATAATTTAATACAATTTGAAACCGTTTTCTGTTGTCTATTTCAGTATATCTTAAAAAGCAGTGTATTCCTGTGATGGTAAATCTGAATTTTCAGTATCATTACTCCAGACTTCAGTGTCAAATGAGGAGAAATTCCTGTATGCTGATTTGATGCTCAAAAATATTTGTTTTTATTATCAATACTGAAAGTTCAAAAGAAAGGTTTTTTAATTAAAAAAGTAGCATTTGAAATGTCTTTTACTTGATAAATAGAATGCATCCTTGCTGAATATAAGTATTGATTTCCTAAAATGCACTACTAGAGTAAATCACAACGACATGAAGATAAAAACTGGGTAATTATAACTAACATAGAAAGTCTCTATTGGGAAATGATTCCCTGACAACCACAGATGTTTCTAAAAATGTCAGTTTGAACTTGTGGCTCTAAAAATATTTCTCACTGTACTCCTCAGTTACGTCTAAAGTGAGGTCCTGGGAATGTTTTTTTTTTTATGATCCACCCACTGGTTTCTCATGCCCACGGCAGTGTTACCCAGCACATCAAAAGCATCATTATCTATGAGTGGAATGTGTGAAGCAGCAGACTTTAGCCAAAGGCTTTCGCTTACCCGAGTTATGGTCAGCGGCTGGTTAAAATCTTTGCCTCCTGAAAGCCGAAATCCCCAAGGGGCTGGCCCGTCCAGAACCACGTTTTGTGGCATATCTGTCTTGTTTTGTTCAGCCTCCTCTTTCTCAAAGTTGAACTTGCTTCCTCAGTACAGTCTCCTCTTATTGGCGAGAGATCTGCAGTATCTCAGCTCTGTCTCTCCTACCCTGGACGAATGGCTCACCCAACCACGATTGGAAGCCAGTGCTTGTCTCTGAGTCCCTTTTAAGCATGCGTGTGGGGTTAGGAGAGTGAGTGAGTGAGTGAGTGAATGAAAGAAAGATGATGCCAGGATGCCACTCCTCTCGTGAGGTCACAGGGTAGAATGACAAACTGAGGGTTCAAACTCTCCCCCCACCTCTTTCAGATCCAAACCTTGCACCCTTTATGATTAATCCTCTTTTCCCATAAGTCTTAGCGGTTTGATAGCTAAAATCATCCACCAGTGACTTTCTTCGCTGTGTCATCACCCTGTCTGCTGTCTAGACTTTTCTTTCCTTACCGCCGGCAGACACCTGTCCCTGACTGAGAGGAGTATAGGCTACTTCATCATTAAATTAAGGCTGAGCGTTGAGTCAGAGCCTTTGCTGCTGATGAGCAGATTACAAACTATTTACAGAACACAATAACAAAACGATATGTCATATTTTCATGTCAACACAGCATGTGTTGCTCTTTTAAACATCTCCTCTCGGGAATGTAAACAATGTCAATAACACAACCACATAAGGGAACACTGAAAACTGCTTGGATTTCATTTCAAGTGATAATTCTCTTACTTTACCACCAAAAAAAAAAAAAAAAATTAATTTATCTAGCCTAGTGTCTTGATGTCATTGTTACATTACACATGAAGTGGCTCCAAAAACAGTTTTGGAAACATAAACCATGCTTAAAAATGTATGAATGTCATTGCATTAGTTGGTTTAAAACATCAAACCAACCTTTTCTCCGAACTAACTTAACTTTTCTGAGCCATTTTTGCAATGACTGTTGCAGTGACCTCAAGTGATATTTTTAGCGCATGTACAAAGTTCACACAGGTGTCCTAACAGACTAGCACAGGTGCAGTTCATCACATTAACTATCTAATGTATCTAACATCTGACAAAACAAACGTTTGTTAGAGATGGTTCACACAAAACGCCTTCTTGCGTTCCACTGTGCTTCTTTTCAATCGTTTTTCCACGTTGTCATGTAAACATAATGCACTACAACCCCGTACGATTTCGGCATCTAGCGAATAAGCACCACATTTTTAAGATGTCGTGTCAAATGTAAACATCTCGAGATCCTGCATTGTGTCCATTCCGATGCGCTTCTTTTTTTATTGTTTTTGTATTTAAACATGCGATAGACGGACATATATCTTTTTCAGACTCGCGCGCAGGAGCGCCGAGCAATCACGCTAAACTTCAACTTTATAAACACACACACACACACACACACACACATCGAGAGCGCGTTCTGAACGTCCCGTTAAATTTTGCTTGAAATCTTTTAAAGCTTTTTGTTTTGCTTAAATATTGTGCTTATTGCAGGTAGTTTTAATATACAGTACTTACATTTTGTTATATATTTATGATTAGTGTACAAATACTTTTTTGTTGTAACCAAATATACCACTATAGTATATTAGCAGGGAATGCAGTAAACTACTCAGAAATTCAATCAGAAATTGCTAATAATTTTCACTAATTACAAACAAGCGGAAAGTAACAGTGATTTTTTTTTTTTTAGGTAAAAAGGCTCATATATTTTTGCAAGTTGAGATAGTGTTCAGGATTTTCTTGTTTATATGAAGCAGGAGAGTTTTTTATTGTTTTGTTGTTTGTGAAATATACTTCAAAAATCTTTGTTTTATTTACAACTTGATGTTACAGAGTACAGTAGGCCTAGTCAATATTTTGGATGCCATTCTTTATTTCAGTGCTGCCATCAGGAGCATTTCTAGCTTTTCCTCAGTACACCTGGGACATTTTAAAACTCTCTTTTTTGATACAGTTTTGGATATATGGATATAAATCGTCAAATTGCTAAGTTTCACAGTTTTCACATTTGTACCAGAAGGGTGTAGTGATGCTTCTGTCTGTCATCCTATTTATTAGCTATATGTATGAAATACAATCATTCGTGCACGTGATACTTGTTTCCAAAGTACCTACACAGAGAGGAGCATACTGTACTGCACTACACGGCACTGGAGCACTGTGCTCTTTATATGAAGGCCAAATTCTAGCTTGAGAGCACTTGTATTGTAGGCTTGAACAGCTCCTTGTTTGGTGTGCCAGGGACGAGCTGTTTGTCATGGTCTGAGCTGCATCAAACCGAGGAACCCCTAACACCAGAAAATCCCTCTCTAACCCAGGCTGTCACATCAAGTACCCCCTCTAGTAATGAAAGGGACAGGTTGTCCAAAAATGAAAATTCTGTCATTTATTCACCCTCATGTTCCAAAATTCAAGGGGGTTGGAACAACATGAGAGTGAGTACATGATGATTTTGGGCAAAACTGTGCCTTCTAAGCATGGATGTTAACTGGGGTTTGCGCTCTGTTCCCAGATATATTTATCAAGTGCTTAAAAGAGCGTGAGAATTTGCTCCATTAAAAACAAATGTGGGAAAAGCACAGAGTCTAGACAGAAAACCCTGCCTCCTGTGAGGAGGCTGGATGGCTCTGGTTCTTTCTCTCAGACTGACCCTCTGTTTACTGTGTCTCCATGGCAGCAAGAGGGACAACTCCAGGACACCATGTAGCTGTTTATAGACTGGACGGTCTGCAGGGACTAGATTGCTAGCAGAAGGCCGACGTTCAGGATGGCACGATTGTCCTATGCACTTACGGAGACTGTGAATCCCACTGAGAACATAGTCTGATGAAAACTGATAGAATTTATTTATTCACTATTCCACAGAGAAAAAAGACAAAGGCTTCAAAATCAATGATTGCTTTTACTTTTTTGGAAAACCTAATCAGACACTTTTTGTTTATTAATCAGTGGTTGCACTTGTTGATATAACCAGCAGCAGTGGTTGAGGACTCTGCATGGCATTCCTTTATATAATTCAGTGATGTTATATTTTTTCTGTTTTTGACCAATGATATTAGAGCAATTGTCAGTTTTTATCCAATCAGAGTCCATCACACACTCTAGCACCAAATCTAATGTTCAGTCAGTGGCAGATAGGTTTAATTTACTGAACATATCACAGTGTTCTGTACTTTATAAACATGTGTTCCTGAATTGTGCATTATTAAATATTACAAATAGCCATGTCATTACATAAATTACATGTGGTAAAATTATGCACCAGGAACAGCACAGTTTACTTCACTTCTGCTTAAGAATGGAAGACAGTCTGCCAAGTCTTTAACTGAACCACAATGAAGATTAGGTTCACAGAGCCAGATGAATTCTCATACTGGTACAATAATACGTTTGCACTGATGAGCAATCCTTTATGAAACAACATGCGCAGGATTTTACTGGTACATTAAGCACATTGACAGACACAGAGACTGCATAATTCCATGAGGTATAATATTGCCTAAATGACATATTATTGGTTCATGTTTCTACTGACTGACACATTTACATTTCTTGCTTTACTGACTGGAATAAAACGGTTAGTCATACAGTCTCACTGGAAGATTGAAACGCTGCATATTTTAAATTGAACATTTGAATATGAGAGTGTAATCGCTGTGCTGAAAAGAGATCATAGACATGTAGAACAATCAACAATATATTAAGTATATCATAATGAAAAACGTTTGCTGAATGATCAAATGAACAAAAATAGATTTTTACGTACATTTCCTCACTCAAATTGAACCAATCGGAAGGCGACATATACAAAATACGTGGCTGCCAATTGCAGTTTAGTAATTATGTATCATGTGCTCCTCTTAATGGCCATAAATAGATTACAGTGTGTAAACCAAAAGTGATGTGCAAGGTCACCCAACACAGAAATATTATAGGCAGTAGAGACATTGAGTCATTTTACTACAGTCTTTTGCCAAAATGCTTTTTGTTATGGATATTGCATTCTCAAAAACGTTATCTCTTTAGATGGAAAAATATCAAAAATATTTTTCTCTTATCTGTAAAATCCTTCAAATGCTCAAAGGAATGTCTGGAGGAAGAACGTTAGAGCCCTAGAAAACCGGAGGTCATTCTTCTGAACCAGAAAGTTAATAACATACTGAAAAGATACAGGTTGGCAGGAATGGTCATCTGTAATATCCACTGCCTGACACAAACATGACACTGCAATACTGTTCAGTCTATACAATCTAGATCAGATCAGACATCAGGTCCAGTGTACAAGGGCCACCAGCAGTAGATCATTCCTCACCTACTGTAGTTCATCCTTCCAATGAAAGAAAACGTGCCTCTTAATAAATAGGGCACTTGATAACTCATTATGTTGAAATTCATCAGCTTAACTAGAAGGCAAGCGAACTGATTATTTTCAACTATGAGAAAAATGTAGGCAACCAAATCTTTTAAAGCTTTTACTGAAATTCCTAATTAATGTAATGCTTTCCAAATGTAATTATCAACATATTTGAACCAAATGACATAAATGGTGCAATAACCCCTCGAAGGCCATTGGCCTTTCATCACTTCATCAGTTTCATCGCTTTCCGTCAGTCCAACAGGTTGATGACTGGAACATGTCATGCTAATTCCAGCAGGTAGCTGTAAGTGACATTGTCCATCTCTCCACAGTAGATGTGTATTGGAAAAGTCCATTTATAGCCGCTTCACGTAGTTCCCAGGAAAGGTTCCAAAAAACTTGGTTCTCCTGGACGTTCCTAAAATATTAAATATGGAATGAGGCCAGCATAAATACTGTATGTATCTATCTATATAATAAAAAATGTAAAGGCAAGTGTGTGTATTGACATATAGGATTATTATAATTAGTAATGACAAATCCACCTTATATTTTTTTCTCTGACCATGACAGTGCTGACAGTATTTTTTGGTTGGACAATAGCGCCAGCTAGTGGCAAATAAATGAACAACACTAAAACACTCCTTGTATAGTAACCAGCAACCTAATGAAAATGGAGTTTACAGTCTTACCTACAAACCATCCATCATCACACTTCTCCATGACGTCAACAACATCTCCTTCCTTCAGTTCCAGCTCATCTTCATTTTGTGGCATGTAGTTATACAGGGCTTGAAATCTGCGAGAGGAAAGGCTCTTTAAGTGTGCTTTCCACATTAGGTTATATTTCAGTATCTGGGCTTGTAATACTGACCAAATCCCACAATGGAATAATGCTAGCATAAAACAATAATCTACTTTAAATTTATGGATATAGAAAAGGGCTTGAAATACTCACGGTTCCCCTGCACCTTGAAGCGGATCATGAACATATGCTTGTCTTTGGGACTGAAAAGAGAGAAAACAGGAAAGGCCATTTAAATGTTTCCATCTCTCATTCTGCTGTATGTCCATCTGATACTGAGAGTTCAACTGTGCTCGTGACGAACCATTGATGCAAAGCCTGAGGCCAGACCTGGATCAGTTGTGTATCTGAATTATGTAAACGCTCAAACTCGGTTTAAATACAGATTTAAAAAAAAAAAAAAAAATTGCACTTTTTTTCAAATACGTGTGAGATCCAGGACTACCGCGGCTCAAGTTCTGGTTTTCTAAGCCATCAAACAACATATTTCCTAAAATATGTTTGATTTGTGGACTTAGAAACAGTCGAGAAATGCCTTAAATCCTGAAAACGAGGACTGTACTCCCCTTGTTTGGAAGGAAATGTGGGGAATAGGCCGCTTGCCTGGCCCTGGGGAGTACACCTTGTTTAAGCTGTGTACACAGGAAAGATCATTGGGACAGTCCCACGAGTAATCCAGACACTCCAAACACATGGCTTAAACCAATACCGCATGTACAAGCCAATCATCTCAACTGCTTTGAGCCACAACAACCAAAAAAGACTGCAGAGATCCACTATATGTGATCTAGGAAGGCATGGACATGCAGGAAAAACCACTTCCTGACACACTTCCAGCATGCTGACCAAACAAAATGTTATCACTCTACAGCAAAGTTAGGAATTAAATGTTATTTTCTTGACCACAAAATGCACTAATGCACAGACAGACAAGGCCATGGTGTTAAGAGTATCCCTTAGTCACTGACTCAGCATTCCTTCATATTGTACTGATGGAATGATACTGCGTACGGAAGCATCATACGCTGACACAAATATATGCCAGTATATATTGTATCATTCCTAATATCATTATATCCAGCTGTAGCAGCAAATATGGAAAGAACTGCACTCAAAACAGTGAATTCCCAGGTCAAATACAGTGAATGACATTATGCGTTGTGCAGGGATACTTTGAAAAGAGAGAAAACAGAATTTCCCTCAAGTCAAATGTGCCATTGCCACACAAGGTGCACATACTCCCTACCCTATGAGATGACGAAAAGGTTTGACCTCTAACAGGCGATCCGCAGGACCTCCTAGACATCACAGGGCTACGAGGGGGCTTACCAACAACCACAACATCACGCCTTAACACAGACTGAAAGAACCAGAGCCGAGAGAAGCTGACATGAATGTTATGTGCAGTCATATATAAAAACATTTTACAAAAGTATACACTACCATTCAAAAGTTTGGAGTCAGTATGTTATTTTTTTTTTAAGAAATTAATACTTTTATTCAGCAAGGATGCATTAAATTGATCAAAAGTGACAGTTAAGAGTTAAAAACTGAATGTTAAATAAATGCTGTTCTTTAGAACTTTCTATTCACCAAAGAATCTTGAAAAAAATTTATCAATATGTAAAAACTGTTCTTGACATTGTTTCTTGAGCAGCAAATCAGAATGATTTTTGAAGGATCATGTGACACTGAAGACTAATGATGCTGAAAATTCAGCTTTGCAATCACAGGAATAAATTACATTTTAAAATATATTAAAATTGTAATAATATTTAACAATATTACTGTTCTTACTGTTTCTGATAAAATAAATATAGCATTGGTGAACATACAAAATCATACCAAACCTGATTTTTTAATTGTAGCGTAATATATTTATACAAAAAAGTTCAAAAAATTCGTACAATTTACTCATGGACAGAATTGTGCCTGTTTCTTTTTGCTCTAAATGTCTCATTATTTATTCCGTTACCCAAGCATCCGTTTTGAGCACTCTTTGTTTGTTTGTTTCCATGCCAGTGGACAAAACTAATAGGGCAAGGCCCATAAAGCTAATTTAAAGGAAGGGTTGGGTGATTTAAATATGTCTACGACTTATTAATAATTAATGACTCTAGCTCCCCATATAACTGTAATAATTTACTGTATGTCAGACATATGAACTACATTGTTCTGTGTTTCATTTATGAAGCGCGCACACTGTGGTGCAATAAATCTCTCATGGAAATGCATACCGCAGAGATGATGTACTTTAAGTTATATAGGTCACTTTAATAGGGAATGTTAGTGCCTGTATTATGGAGTGGTAATACTAGGGGGAAGGGTGGAGGAGGATGAGCACTGGTACAGTCACTAACAAGCAGCTTGTCTTTACCTTGACCTTTGGGGAGCGGAGGTCCTGTCGAGAGAACAGTTTTGCAGAGGGAGGGGGCGACTGTGAAACCCCGGGCAGAGGGGGGGTGGAGCGCGGGGAAGGGGGAGAGTATTTAGCCGATGAGGGCAGTTTGAACGGCAATGACATCTGTGAGGACAGGGGAGAGAGACGTGGAGAGGCATTCTGGGAAACTTCACCCTGCTGGTGTGGAGACGAAAACAGTTATACATGCCACAGTCATACGTTCATCATCCTCTACTGATGCTTCAGGATTTAAAGGTGAAGTGTGTCATTTTTTGTGCCGTTAACGACACCAAACAGAATTGCAAAAATTAGTTACGTGCTGAAATTCTAAAAATATTCATAATCAAAATGCGGCATCAGCCCTCTAAAACTATTTCGGCCAAAACCATAAATTCATTTCCAGCTGAGGTGGATAATATTGCTGGGTTTATAATATAAATTTTTATAATATTAAAATTAACTCCTTTTTAATCTACAGTATCTTCATTTTGATGAACCAACATCTTTTAGGCTATGCTGTTTTCTTTTTGTTGATGAGTAAACAAAACTTTACTAAACATTATTTGTAGTGCGCCTACCATCCAATAATTGCAATAAGCTTTGTGCTTTGTTACTTTTGGGTCTGAATGGAAAGATGTAAACAAAACAGCTTGCAAACAATGTTACATTATATTTACCTCAGGAAAGCCATTCAATGTCCATAGCTTGTTAGTCAGCCAGAAAAATAACTCCAGAGAGGAGCATTTTGCTAAATATATACACCATATTATATATTAATTTTATTTTTACTGAACCTGTTGTTTTTATTATTTAATGTATGTTTGAATAAATCTGTGATTTAAAAAATATCACAGCCACCATTTAAATGTTTATATTTCAACAACAAATTGGAGTAGAAATGTTATTATATCATTGATTAAAAAACAACCTAATATGCAATTTAAATGTTTATAAACAACTCAGATTTTTGAATGTTGATTGTTAAAAAAAATTTATTTCTTATTATTATTATACATTTTTACACTTTACTTTAAATTTTGCTTTTTGTCTAAAAATAAAAGTGATTTCAGGTTTGGTGTTTTGATCAAAAATTAATTTCAATGCATCACAGGCAAAAAATAATGACCAATGAAAAAAAAAAAAAGTACGATCCAAAAACCTGAAATTTAGTATTTAGTCATCTAAAACATTACACACTTCTCCTGTAAGGAAATCTATTTTGGCTGTTCATTTGGGCGGTATAACCACACAGCGAGCACTACCTCAAAATCTGACCCCTCACTATGGGCGGGTTGGACTGGAGTAAATGTATTTGATGGCAGGGGTTCATTTGTCTCCTCCTCTATAAACAGTCTGGGAAGCTTTTCCATTATATCTGGTTCCTGGCGATAAAATCCCTCCTCTTCTTTGAACCTGCCCTTTGATTGGCTGGCCTTAATGATTGACACTAACTCCTCACACAGATCATCCTCGGGGTCTTTAGGTGGAAGAATGTCCAATGGGGATTCATATGCCTCTAAAACAACCAAGTCAATAGGCGGGTCTGTCTCTACTGGTTTGTGGAGGTCTTTGCGATCTGAGAACAACTGCAGTTCTTTCTCGGCTAAATCTGCTTTTTGGCTGGAGAAGATCTCTATGACACTGCTAGACCTGGGGCTGGAGTCAAATATGGGTGAGGTGGGCGAAGGAGTGAAGGAGGCGGAGGTGAGGTAAGGTTGAGGTGACGGGCTGGGATCGGGGGACATGTAGGACTTTGGGCAGGTGATGGGAATGAAGTGACCCTCTTTGAGCGCAGGAGTGGAGGTGTGGGGAGTGAGGGCTGGAGAGCGGCCCAGCATGGAGGAGGCAGGAGAAGGGGAGATGGCAGAATCCAACACTTCAAAGTATGGCTGGAAATTGGAAGGGAAGGGAGGAGGTGTGGGGGCAGGGGTTCCTGAAGGAGACAGACCCAGAGTAAGGGCCAACCACTCGCTGGTGATGGCCTGAAGGTGTGCAGCTCTCTGTGGACTGGGAGAGGATGAGGAGAGTGGACGGACAGATGGGGATGGAGAGTTGTAGAGGGTACGTGCAGATGATGGCTTAAGAGAAAGAAGGAGAGAGGGAGAAACAGAAAGTGATAGTGATGATACACGCTGGAAAATAAGAGAACTGATAGAAAAGATAATAAAAGTGACAGGAGGACAGATGAAAGAGCATTCTGCAGTGTTATGAAAAAATGCCACCTAGAAACCCATTGTACAAAAACAGCACTTTTACATTCAGTAAATCTGACTAATTCCAGATGATTTAAGCAGTTTATAGCTACATTGTGGGGTTTGGATTCTGTTATGTGTAGATTAATTACCCACCCATCATGTAAATTGGATTTCACATAATTTATGGCCATCATCAAGGGAAATTCTCTATATAGCATCCTAGAAATCGCTTAATTTTCTGTATAGAGTCATAACTCTGCTACAGAAATGCTGTCAATGTGAAAGCTTGTGGCAGTCCTACACTCAAATATTGTAAAAACTCTGTATGTGGGAAACAGGCCTAAGACAAAAGGCATGAGCTACAAAGAAGGATATGCCATAATTAATCATTTTTAGAGGGCACTTGCTGTCTGTATTGATTTGTGAGGTGGAAACAACAACAAGGTCACTAAGAGGTCATCTTTAAACCAGCAATAAGAGTATCCTGTCCTCACAATACAAGCCTTCCACATTTACCCCGGGTGCTTTTCAAGAAATGTCTTTTCTTATGAAAGCTGAAATGAAAAGAAATTGTGTATGTTGTAGGTCCTAATCTTGTAGGACACTTTCTGGACCACTGCACGTGTATTGTGAATTTGCATTTTTATCCTTAAGCCATGTTTAAAAATGTATGAATCTTCCACTGATGTTTGACAACCAAGTGTCCAAATACATTGTAATTTTAATAGAACACTACAGTTCAAGTTTGTGGTCAGTGCATATTTAATTGACTGACTTTCACATTGTTACAAAGGATCCATATTAGAAAAATGCATCATGGTTTCCACAAAAAATATTGAGAAGCACAACTGTTTTCAACATTGAAGATAAAAAGAAATGTTTCTTGAGCACCTTAGTGATCATAAGAGACTTCTTTCAAAAACATTACCAACCTAAAAAAATCTTAATAGCTCCATGTTTATATCTGTAGATTTATCATTTAAAAGCTTAAAAAACATGTTTAAAAGTGCGCTTGTACTATTTTTTTTTAATTAATGACATTGGTTTGATATTTTGTTATCTAATGCAAAATATCTATCTTTTTAAGAGTAGCTTAAGTGTCCAAATACAGTGTATGTACCATAGTACAAAGTTAAAATGTGTTTGCGACAATGTTTGCTATAATAAGAAAATGTACTAGTCCAGTCCAGTCATATTAGTTCACCTTCACAGAAACTTTTCTTTCAGTAACAGCAGGAGCCAAGCAGCACATGTATAGCGCAGCAGGTCATGTCCACATTTTAATTAGCCTATACTGGATACTGTCAGGACGTGTGATTAATCTGATATAATCCTGCTCTCGTGTGAGTGAAGGAATAAGCCTATACTTCTTTGTTCTTTAGATGGAATTACAACTCAAGGGCATTTAATCTGAATTCAGGCTTATCTTACACAACAAGCCAAAGGTAATCTAAAGATGACAGAGGTGATCTATTTTGGCACCGGGACAGCTGCCATCTGAGAAAGGATTAATTTTATACTTGCCACCTTGTTGGCACTGATAGTACTGTACATGACCTATGGCAATATGAGTAACATGAGTTGAATGAGAGGCTTTACTGCCTCTGATGCCACCGTTTGTCACCACGGATCATGTATTTAAAGTGTAAGTCAGTATTTATCCAGATAAGATTATACAGTCACTTAAAGGGGTCATATGATGCTATTTTAAAGATCATTATTTGTTGTAACAGAATATGTTGACATGCTTTAATGTTCAAAAAACACATTATTTTTCAAATACTGTACATTATTGTAGGTCCTCTATGTCCCGCCTCTCTCAAACGAGTCGTTTTCTACAAAGCCCCTCCTTCCGACAAGCGCAGTCTGCTCTGATTGGCCAGCTGACCCAGTGCATTGTGATTGGCCGAACACCACAAGCACGCGCCGGAAATGTAACGCCCCTTACCATAATCACGAGCTTCAGCTTTCAAAGTAAATATCAAGACCGAAAGTGCAACAGAGTCGCGTGACAGACACAGTGATGATCCAGTACACAAGCCGCGGTTAAGACAGCTGACGTGCTATGATTTCTGACAGGCAGTTCACTCTCCTGTGATGTGACCCTGTTCCCCTCACACACACACACACACACACACACACACGACGCGTTACTCTGCGCTGCGCAAAACTCCGCATTTGAACAGTCAATAGCAAATACTTAAACTAATAACAAAACATACTTACAGTCGCTGATTCAGAAGCGCCAGATTGTCATAGCAAAGTCGGAATTGACCCTTTTTTTTTTTTAGAAATAGCCTTTGTGCACAGCCAGCCTCGTACTTTCCTAGGTTCACAAAACGTTTTTTCGTCCATAAAATGCGTTGCACAAATTTGAACATTTGGGTTGTGCTGTTCTGTTGTAAACAGATCTTAACAATGATTCCTAATTGCATCTACTTCCGGAAGGCCAAATAAAGTGCTTTTGCTTTCGCACAGAAACACACAGCGTCTCCCTGACATGGCTGCATCAACACTACTGCGGTTCCTGAAACCACGCCTTCTTTCTTTGCTTGCACAGTTGGGCGGCATTACGCAAATATTTCCACATCGTGACATAGACATGTGGGGGCGTGTTTGAACAAGGCCTTTTAGCCCGGTTTGGATCAGCCTTCTCTTTTAGATAGAATAAATCCTTTTGTGGGAGACTTTGAGCTTTGTAACTCTGCAGGTCATATACGTGCACAAACAGCTACATAACACATTAAAGAAAAGGAAAAATAGAAATCGCATCATATGACCCCTTTAACTGGATCATTTTGTGGATGTAAGTTACCTGAAATTCAGATATGTGTAGTAACCATGATTTAAACCTCATGAGACTGTAACATGATATATGTTTTAGACATTTTAGGTAAATTTCAAGTGGACTTGCAGATGAAAACGTACCCTACTGTTTAGCCTGTCACTGGAGTAGCTGGAGGGTATACTGGGCCCTGGAGGTTGACCGGTACTTTGTACTGAAGCCTTCTTAACGACGTCCACATACGACACAGGAAAAATCCCTTGTTTGTTTGTACCTGGGATTTTGCCCTCAAACCAGTTCTTATCCACCTGCCGCAACAGAACAACACACTCGCCCTGGAAGACACCAACACAAGATATATTTGGTGGATCAAAGGCAAAATTTCAGTGCAAAATGACAAAATCATAACCAATTAATGTTTTTGATTTTTAATATACAACTATATGAAGAGGCTGTTGCTGGTTGAGGCAAAAGTTCCAGGTTTTTTTTTTTTATGTGTTTTCTGTCTTCTTAGAAATCTCTAAGAAATCTTAGATCTTCTGTCTTAAGATTTCATTAGAACAGCATTTGGTAAAAAGTGAGGATTATTTAGCAAAAGACATGCTCATAAAGTGGTAAGAAACATTAAGAAGTGGATTAATGAGCACTTGCTGAAACTAAAAGATATTTATGACATCAGTACTAAGAAAATGTTTACTTTTCGTAATGAAAGTTCCACATTAGTATCAGCATTAAAGTTGTAACGGGCAATTGCTTCCCCAATTTCTTTGCTTTGGGCTGGTGGAGGAGGTCTAGCTGGCTGATGTCTCTCTGAAGGGGGGATTTTCTGTGAACAGAGAAGTTAAAAGAGGCTACTTCAGACTCCAGAAGATAGTTAATAATCATAATGATGTTCTATATGTCATCATTAAAGTACACACCTCCACATATGAGATGGGGAAGATGCCCATGTGTCCGCGGTGTTCTCCTTCATACCAGTTATTATCTATCTGCCGAGTGATGTATACCGTCTCTCCTTTCTTAAACGTCAGCTCTCTGGAAGGAAATAAAAAATCAAGTTAACAATATTCCACATGCAAAGGAATTATGCAAAGGAAAGACATAAATAATACATGAAAATGTACTGACTGATTGTGGCACATCAAATGCAGTAAAAACAGTAACTGGTGACATGGTTTGCAAGTTGTTCTTACTTTGCTGTCTGTGCTTTGAAGTCATATATTGCTCTGGCTGGCAGTTTCTGTCAAGCGAACGAAGCAAAGAAATCGAACTTTATTACATGTTGTCATGAGGTGGGTTTATTTGCAGTTTGATCAAAGCCTAGATAAAATATTAATGATACTACTAAAATTTTGCAGGAACATATTACTATTACTATATGTTCCTACCTCTTTGACATCAGGGGTTTGTCTCCTGCTCTGTGGTGTGCGGTGGCACACATCAGGGTAAGAGTATTCTCTGGATGTGTCCTGATCTAGAAAGAACAGAGAGATAAAACGATTCAAAGACAAGCCTCACAAAGATCCAACACTATTACATGCATGGGAACAAGCAATAGCAAAGGAAACAATGATTTGGGGCTTGATGAGAGAAATGCAGACAAAATAAAAAGAAAACATGAAAAAGTAAATGCAAATATATATTTTATTGACCAATGAAAAGTAAATAATGTAAATAAAAATGTATACATATTTTGTTTGTCCATAATAATGAAGTAAGCTTCCATGAATCATCTCGTTGTTACACCCATCCTCTAGACTCATATCCCCAGTATAGATCATGTGTATTTATACTAGAACCGCAAATGGTTAGCTGGCATCTGTGCCAACTGTGGGCAAGCCCCCTTGCTCTAAACAGTCTTCATTTATAAACA